AGAAAGCCAGCGAGCATTCGGAGTAACTGTATACCAAAATGGGGATATAAAATGCGCGAGGACTGATTGGTGATTGTCGCTCGCGTTTTAAAGCGACGCTCGCCCAACCAGATTCCGCTCTCTAATCATCTTGATATTTTCTCAACATTTTGATTAACCTCTTGATTAATCGCACAATGATATTATTATCAAGTATGATCGATTCCAAAGTGCTTGATAAGATGCTTCCTACGAAAGTGTATTATAACAAAATTTTTATCCTTACCTTAATTTTACGCACAAATACGACGTTTCGTTAGTTAGGTTTTGTTATATCAGTGCGTGTGCGCGCGAGTCCCAAAAAATTTATATGAGATTGTCTCGTGCATGTTTACGCTATCGATATGACAATAAATACTTAACGCTCAGTTGGTGCAGTAAACGCGTGGATCTCTTTATTACAATCACACTACGCCCATACATATAATACGCGGAGATGATGAATTTGCGGGGTGCAATAGTCCGTAGGTCGAAGCTGTGCTCCAAAGTACATAAAATTATTGAAATTCGTAGGCTAAGAAGGTTTAGGCGATGGGATACACCAATCGCGACGATAGCTTCGTTCGAACGAGGAGACATGAAAATAAGGTGAATAATAGGGACGGGATAATGCAGGAGAAGGAAAAGTAGCCATTTCCTGTGCTCTTCCCACTCGCGTCTTCAGATGGCGCTCGAGTCCATAGAAGCGCAGCCCGTCGCCGTTAATGAGTATTCGACGGAGTCGTTCCTCGTAGTCCATAGGTAAGCGAGAGCGAGGGTTTTTGTGTTCCTCCCCTCAGCGCTTGTCGCTACGAGTACGTCGAATTGTCGTCCAATCTTTCCTTTTCCTCATTCTTCCGGGTGTGCCTGGGTTACAATTCCTCTATGATTATCTATGATGCATTCTTCTATTATTAAACGTGTCTATACACGCGTATATCGCGCGGGCACGAGCCACCGCAACAGGTCTTACGCAAAAGGAGAGAATGAGACTGAGGGATTCGCCGTCCCTCTCTCGCTCTCTTTTATTTCCGAACGGGCGTAGAAGAAAGAGGAGAAAGACCATAAGAGAGAATGTGCGTGCGTGTGTGTGTGTGTGTGTGAGAGAGAGAGAGAGAGAGAGAGAGAGACGCGGATTTCAGGAGGAGAATAGCTTAGCCTAAATGGATCAAACTGAGCGTGATAATGGCGCAAAGAAGAGACTTTAAGTGACGTTTGCTATTCATGTTTTTCGTGCGATGAGGACCCGAGAAGGATGGATGATATGTCTTGAAAATTCGCTCTGTATAAATAGCGGAGGAGTGATACTGCAGGAGCTGCCCTTTTGTGTACTAAATATAGTAACTTTGATCTTGTATGTGGATACGTCACGCATTATGCTACTGCTTTCATATGGCTTTACTCCTTCCCTTATTTTGTCTCTTCCTTTTTATTTTATTATTATTTTTTCTTTCATTTTCTTTTATCTTTTTTTTTTTCTCTCGTTTTATTATTTTTTATTCGATCGCTGCGCCCTCGAGGAATATCGTTCTAGCATTAAGGGTTAAAAGTTTCGAAGATTCTTTAACCGGCACGATTTTATCAAAATGTTATGTATGGTCCCCTTTATCGATCGTCAAATGTTTATAATCCCAAGGACTTGTTGATACCATCGCTATTGTAAAAGATTCATTCACTTAAAAGCACCGTTGACATGATTCGATAGATAAAAGAATTAGTTGTACTCTAGTGCTATAAGTTATTAAATATAAACAGCAGTAGTTAATCGAATGGAATTTGAAATGTTATTAGGTGTGGTTTCGAAAACACGGATTGTTGTCCTATTCGCGTAAGATTCGATGGATAATATGATGACATAAGCTTGATAAGAAGTCGGTGAACGATAAATTGATGATTGTTCGGCGTGTCGTAATTAGATACTGCCTTCGCTAAAGTCGATTTAATCGCTCATGTAAAATACGATAGGCAAATAAAACAGAGACGATATAGAATGCAAATAAATATTAGATCGCCAAGTAGGTAAGGCAGTAGTGGTATGAGTGTCTATATATCCCAACTATCTATTATAAATGTATTTTAACCCAATTTAAACTTGTTGGCTTGACTAATGAGTAACCAAAGCAAAGAGTTTGCATCATATTCCCTGGAGACATTTGTGCCAAATATAAGTGGCAGACGGGCGTTAACGAAACGAGAATAGAAAAGATAATTATACGCATATTATGGCGTTTAGTTTTATGGCAAAGAATAAAAGAAAAAAAAGAAACAAATAGGTAAATTAATTTTGTCAAGCCATTATCGGATAAAAATTTTTAATAATTAAAACTGCCAGTGCCAGCGCAAAACTCTCATATAATTGTAATTCTATTACATTAATTAATTTTAAGGTTGTTTTTATTAGAAGTAAGGCCAATTGTTGTGGCATAAGGAGAAAGTCATGCCTTTATTGTGTTTTATCAGTAAAAAATGAATGTTACAAGTGGAGAATCAAATCGTGATGTTATACTGGCATGGAAATTAAATGCTTTTACGGTGATGTAATTGACAAAATAACAAGGATAATGTTGAATATTGTAATAGAATTTTAATGTACCATTATTGGAAGTAGTCTAGTTGTAGTCTTTGTCCCTTTCCCGCCCCACGCCGTCGACGCTATCATCCCGTTGAACGCCCCACTCTCTCTCTCTCTCTCTCTCTCTCTCTCTCTCTCTCTCTCTCTCTATCTATCTCTCACATTATATGCGTAGGTGCGCGTTTATACGTCTGCATGTGTAAAAGTTGAATTTTTAAGTTTAAAGTTGAGGAATGGCGCGACGCGCGAAACACGAAGAGAAGAGTGAACAACAACAGAACAACAACAAACGCGTTGAGCGAGAAGAGAGTGACGAGCGTCTAGCGGTAAGTACGCAGTAGCCTAAAGTCGACAGTGTCGAGCGGCACGGACGAGGCCAACAATCGCCGACAAGTAAAATGAAATTAAAAATGTGTGCGAGTGGCGTGGAAAATGGAAGTGCGAGGAAAGGGGGCAGACGTTGCACGTGCGTCCGCGCGGAAATCCCAAGTCGAGCGAGTGGTCCGTCACGGCGGTCCTGGCCGTTCCCGGGCCGATGACGACGAAGAAAAGTCGTGCGTCCCGGGCGGGTGACCGGCGTTTCGGCGTCGCTCGCTCCGTCCTTCTCCCGCGGACTCGGCGCTCGGCCGCCAGGCGTCGCGGCAGTCGCACGCCTGACGTCACGTCTATGTGCCCGCCCCCGGGGCTCGGGGTCGCCCCGGCCATTGGCTCGACGGAATGATGGCAGGCTAACACGGCCAATCGATCGGCGCGCGAGGCTCGTCTCGCGTTCGCCTCGGGCCCCGTACGCGCATTAGCGGCGCCGTCGGCCTCGGTGGGAGGGCGGCCGGCTTCACGGGGGTGGGAGGCCGTCCGGAGTGGGGCAGGCGGAGCTCCGAAGGAGGGAGCCAGATTGGGTGTAAGCCCCCGCGTCGGGGGCGAGGGACGCAGGCGATACTCCTGTGCCCGGCACCGTGTCCACGAGTGCTCAGACGGTTTCGTACTTCCGTGGTGAGTGGAGGTCGCATTGCGCTTCTTCCTCGACCCGAGCTATCACGACCCTTGCACGAGCGGTCGCTTGGTGGTCTGTTTTGCCGCGTTCAGCGGTACGAGCCCGTGGCACCGTTGCATCCGAGGCCGCGGTCGCGCATCGACTTTTCATCGTCGCACCCATATCGCCCGCGCGAACCCGCCACCTGGCGCAATCGATTGGAGCTCGCGCGTGGCCCACCTCGAGCCAGCGATTTATACAGTCGAAGTTGTCTAATCGAAGATACGGTTCGATTATAAGAGATAAGCCGATCCGTTCGACACTCTCGAGACAGATAGGCAGATAGACGGAGAGAGAGAGAGAGAGAGATAGAGATAGAGAGAGAGAGAGATAAATATATATATATATATATATATAGAGAGAGAGAGAGAGTGCGCGTGCGAGAGAGATATATATATATTAAGAGCAAGAGCACGAGCAAGAGCACGAGCACGAGCAAGATCAACCGCAACAGCAAGAGCAAGAGCGAGACAGACAGGCTGTCGATAAAGGAAGCAAGAGAGAGGCAGGGAAAATTCGAAAGAACGCGCGTGATTCGTTGAGCCGCGCTGTGCCATCCAGCCAGTCAGAGACGAGAAGAGAGAGAGAGAGCGCGATAGAGAGAGAGAGAGAGAGAGAACGAAAGGGAGTTTGAGAGGGAGAGGGAGAGAGAGAGAGAGAGACAGAGAGACAGACAGCAAGGGGAACGAGTGAGTAGTCGTATAGGCTAGCTGCTTGGCGCGCTAGCGACACATTGGAAGGGGCAAAAGTGACAGTGTGCTTTCAGTTCTGGTTCGGACCTGGTGACGGACGGTTGTGTGTCCGTACGTTTGCTTCACGTAGTCTCGTAGAGACACTGCCGAACGACGGATCCACGCATCAGCTCCATCGACCGATGAGAACAATCGAGAACTACGGACCAGCGATATATTCGCTAAATTTAAAAATAAAACAAACATACAAATTTGTGGTGAATATTAAATATTAGTTTGGCCGACTTTTGGCTGTGGGCATGAAAGCTTACGTAACGACATCGAGGACATTGAAACTGTGCGCGATTATTATAGTAAGTGAGGGTGAACTAGACAGCGATAAATTCGTTGCTTGAATGACTCTCGCGGTGTCCTATGCACCAACGCCGCTGCTTGATGACTTGCGCCCGGGACTTCAACGTCGCCTCGCGTGACGGAGCTCGACGTTGTCCACTCTAGAAACGCAAAAGCACGCGGTGCTAATTTTAGAGCTAACCTTAAGCATAAGGAACGATAGCGTGTCATCATCATTGATAGCTAGTAATAATAGTATTAGTAGCGTCAGCAACAGTAATAGCAGCAGCAGCAGCAGCAGCAGCAGTAGCAGCAGCAGTAGTAGCACCAACAGTAGCAGCAGCAGTATCAGCATCAGCAGCAGCAGCAGCAGCAGCAGCAGCTGGAACAGCAGCAGCACTAGCAAAGGCAGTCGAAGCAACGACTCGCGGTAACAGCGACAGGAGGGAAAGGAGGAGGATTACTCGTTGTGGTGACAGCAGTGTAACGTAAATTCAGTCAAGCTGTACGGGCACCGGGAAGAAGACATGCTTACGATGGAGACGGACCTGAAGGGCGGCAGCCTTCACGGCCAGATGCCGCCGCACTCGCACCAGGGCGTCTCGCCGATGGGCCACCACACGGGTGTCGTGTCACCTTACGGCGCCCTTGGCTCCCTCGTTCACAGTCCCGCGCTCTCGGGCAGTCCGCCCAGCGGCGGCCTGGGAAGCCTCTCCCTACAGCACCATCACCAGGCACCCCAGCACCATTACGCCTCGATGCAGGCCGCCGCGGCTGCAGCAGCCGCCGCTCAACAGCAACAGCAGCAACAGCAGCAGGTCCACGCGCAGCAGCACTCTCAGGCCATGCACTCGCTCGCCCAGCAGCAGAGCGCCGTGCAACAGCAACATCACGCCCATCAGCAGCAACAGCAGCAGCAGCAGCAGCAGCAACAACAGCAACAGCAACAGCAACAACAGCAGCAACAGCAGTCCCAGCAGCATCAGCCGAGCAACAACAACAACAACAATACGAGCAAGAACAACAACAGCGATCGGGTGAAGAGGCCGATGAACGCGTTTATGGTGTGGTCGCGGGGACAACGCCGGAAAATGGCCCAGGAGAATCCCAAGATGCACAACTCGGAGATCTCGAAGAGGCTCGGGGCCGAGTGGAAGCTCCTGAGCGAGACCGAGAAGCGGCCGTTCATCGACGAGGCCAAGCGGCTTCGCGCCGTCCACATGAAGGAGCACCCGGACTACAAGTACCGGCCACGGCGCAAGACCAAGACTCTCCTCAAGAAGGACAAGTTCCCGCTGGGCAGCGCCGTCGGTGGCGTCGGGGGCATGCTCGGTGTCGATCAGCGGCAGGTCGGTGGCGCGGCCGGACCTCAGCAGGCCCAGCTACCCCGCGAGGTCTATCAGATGCCCAACGGCTACATGCCAAACGGCTACGCGATGATGCACGACCCGACGGCCGCCTACCAGCAGCACTACGGCGGGCACATGAACGCCGCCGCGGCCGCCGCCGCTGCCGCCGGCTATCCGAGGTACGACATGGGCCACCACCTGGGGGCCGGTGCCGGGGGCGGCGGCAGCCCCTCACCCATAAACAGCTACATGAACGGCTACGGGGGCTACGGTCCGACCACCGTCCCCGGTGGCTCGCCCTCGCCCTACCACCAGGCCCAGCCTGGCTCTCAGATGTCCAGCCACAGCCCCTCGGGCAGCAGCATAAAGAGCGAGCCGACGAGCCCGGCGAGCGCGGGCATACACACGCCGACGCCCAGCGGCCCGGGCTCGTCCGCTGGACCCAACGTCAAGCGCGAGTACATGGCCCAGTCCCAGCAGCAACAGCATCAGCAGCATCAGCAGCAGGGCGACCTCCAGCAGATGATCTCTATGTACATGGGCGGTGACCAGAACGTGATGCAGCACGGCGTCTACTCGCCGGGACCGTCACCCGACTCTCTCGGCCAGCACCAGTCCATCATACCGCCTCTCACCCACATGTAAGTATGACTTTACACGATTGCGAGGCCGACCTTAGCCCAATTACTCGCGGATCCTAGTAACGTCGAAGCAAGATTCGAACGTCCCTCGGCAGACTTTTTTTCATTTCTTTGCCGCGATTTTCATATCACTCCTCCACCACTCACTGATGATGCCCTTGGCTCTTATCACCGAGTAATGGCTGGCGCTCGCGACCCCCCGTACAAACAGCGTACAATTTCAGTAATTAAAGCTCCATTGACAAAATAAAAAGTCTATTTGAACGTTTGCATCTTTATTCGATCGCGATTTGTCCGTCGTCGAATCGGATGGAATGCTTGTAAGGCTAGTCCCATTGCCCCTTGGTCCCCGTCGCGACTATCGCTAAAGCTACTACTAAGCTAAATCACCACCGCTATTACAGCAAATACAACTACACTACTACTACTACTACTACTACTGCTACTGCTTTTGCTACTACTACTGCTACTGCTTTTGCTACTACTACTGCTACTACTACTACTACTGCTACTACCTACAACTACTACTACTACTATTACTACTACCTACAACTACTACCTACAACTACTATTACTAATGCCACAATTACTAATGCCATTACTACTATCACTACTGCTAGCGCTACTATCATCACTACTACTACTACTACTACTACTACTACTACTACTACTACTACTACTACTACTACTACTACTACTACTACTACTACTACTACTACTACATACTACTACTACTCTACTACTACTACTACTACTACTACTATCACCGCCACTACTACTCGTGGGGCCGATCTTCTTCCTTCCTCTGTGTCGTTTGCCTAGTCCATCGCCTCCTCGATAAGGAGGCTCGCGAGACTCTCGGCTC